TCAAGTTGCAGTCAAGCAAAATGTAATCCACTATTCTGTGCAATTTACATGAACTTATAAAATCATTTTCAGATTCTATATATATGGAAAGATTTATTAACTACCTTATTGTTTTAATTCAGCGATGTATCTAACACAGATACTCCAGTAGTTTTTGGTTAAGAGAAACAGGCTAGTGAAAAAGAAATCTTTATCCATTAGAATTTGATGAACACATACACACACACACACACACACACACACACACACACACACACACAGACTCACACACACATATGTCCAAATTCACTACAGCCAGTTATTTCTTGCCAAAATTCCACTGTTGGAATTCAGCATTTTAAATAAAATATTTGTAGGATTAATTTCAACAGATTGCTCGCTAAGTTCCTTTAGATCATCAGTTCTATGGATTTTGATCTCCACTCATCCTGTGTCAGGTCAAGACACAGGTTTTATTTTGACCCTGAGACAGGCTGACCTCAGGAAGACCTTCCTTGGTCCAGGAGTTGATATTGCCATGCTCCATCATCCACTATGTCCTACACAATTGTGTTTCAATTTCATACTTATTTTTCTCTATGATTGAGACGCTGGTACAGAACATATTCAATGTATCTCTAAATTTTCATGTTATGTCCACTGAATCATGTTCTTCTTCAGTCAGTACTCACATTTCTTAAACAAGGTTAAAAGCACTCCGTGGCACAGACTATTTAAGAGGTGGAAACAGCCTCCTTTTTCTCTGGAAACCCAGTCATGTGTATTATGTATGTCCATGTGCAGATATTCTGGAAACTTGAAATTTAATTCCTACCTTAGAAATGCTTCTTTCTGTATTCAGATCATGACTTCACACTTTGCTTCCAAAACTTTCAGTAAATGCAGAGTAATCATGACTATCTGAATCAAAAGAAGAATGAGGATTGAGGGAAAAAAATACTTTTCTATATAGAAATAGCAGATGGGCCTGTAGACTACACATGCAACAATGAAGTCAATATAAAGATTGTCAAGACATGGACCTGCAGGAGAATTTTAAATGGGTGCCATTTTCCATGAAAATGATATTGCAGCTGGAACAGGACAGGGTTCTGAGGTTACAACTGCCAGGCAAGCACCATGGCACACATCTGAAGGAATCAGGTGGAAGCCAGTTCACAGGTCAGGTCACAGACTTCACATATTTATAAGGAGACTCCAACTTCATCAGATATAATCTAGTCTATCTGTCTCCATCTCAGAACACCTTATCCCACAGTTGCATTTCTAGCCTCTATGTTGTTTCCTTGTGTATTTGATTCCTGCTCTCTGGGAAAATCCTCCAGCAACCAGGTTCCAATACTAGGGTTTTTGTCAACCGGTGACCATGGGTCCAAAACATGGTAGCAAAAATATAAAGGAAGACTCCGTATAATGAATTGCCCTCATCTCCCTGGTCCTCTTTTTAGTTGACAATGCACACAGCCTGCCTTCATCACCGAATAGCTGGTGATGAAAGACCAAATATTTGAGACTGAAAGGACAGAGAAAGTGATCCAATACCTATACTGATGAGCAAGTTGACAGGTGCCTTTCCTGGATTACATCTGGGCTACTGCAGTGCTCCACAAGGGCATTAGTACACTCAAAATGAGGTTTCTCTTGTATATACAGAGCAGGTATTGACTAACTGTATTTTTTGGAAGTTTATTCCTACATGCAGTAAGTAAGATGGAAACTGTACTCCAGTGAATTCAAATTATGTAGTCTGGAAATGACTCCTAAACTGGGTGGGGGGGGTTGAGAATAGGCTGGATATACTAGGGTGTGAGATGAGGCCAATAGTTTTACTGCCTTATGATAAAACAAGGCCTTTTTTAACTTTTCAGGAGAGATATGGGAATCCAGGACATTTATACAGACCTATCTCTTCAGCAATATTTTTCATTTGCAGACATGTTTTCACTATGTTTCCAAGTTACCAAGCCTTGCTTTAAATTGCAAAGTTGAAAACCTCTTGCCTCAGGTTCCCAGATGCCTTAAATCAAATGAAATCACCAACTTTCCTATGTCTGAAACATTTTATTAAAAAGATAATAAAACATTAAAATTACAAAATATAAATATGAACTACATTGTAGTAATTCATCAGCAATATTCTATATCAAGATCAAGTGTGCAGAAATCCCAAATGCCTCAATGTATATTAAAATATTGGTGAGTAATATTTTTCACACATGGAAACTTACACAAATAACATTTTATATATACTTAAAATTTTAGAATATATTGAAAAATGTACACAAGTAAATAACTAAATGTTACTAAACACAGTAATTAGCATAATAACCACAGTATAATCAGAATCTTGTGAATGTGTTCTCTTTCTCTTCATATCTCATACTGCCTTGCACTTAACCTTCTTGTCAGTTTGTGACATCACGTGATGGCTCTCAAATTATGAAACATGAGATAAATAATGACTCCATGTGACATCAGATTTATTTATGCTACTGAGAACGAAACATGACTTAGACTTTCTCAGCATTTATTTCTGAGTTTTATTTTAATATCATAAGATGCTGCTGAAATGCCACTGTGGATCATGTGCCTAAATGGATACTACGAGAGTTTAGCAGTGCCATGTCCCCAAAGACTGTACAGAGAGCAGCAAAAGTGGTGTATTATTATCCTGCATGAAATTTATTGCTAGAAATATAATGCTACAACCTGGGCATGAAGGTTTATGCTTGTAATCTCAAGACTTGTAAGGCTAACACAAGAGGATTGCTGGAAGTTCAAGATCAACCTGGACTACAAATGGAGCCCAAGGTTAGCCTGAACTACAAAGTGAGCTCATGACCTGCCTGGCCTACAAAGTGAGCTCAAAATCAGCCTGAACTTCATAGCAAGTTTGTTTCAGACAAAACAAAACTAATGGTACAAGTCTCGTGCATTGAATTCACGCACTTGTAGTTGTTACCTTATTTATTGCACACTGGTGATTCTTTCTTTCTGGTGTCATGATTTAAACATCACTTCCATCACTCACTAGTGCTATTCTGGCAATCATATTCCATGCATTTTCTTTGAACCCTAGGAACTTATGTGAAATCAGGATTCACTTGCATACGCAGGATATTACTATTTATAAATGACTGCCTTAATCTTAGAAGGATGGTGCTTACATTTGTAGAAAAGTATATGATTGTAATAGGCAGTAGGAGCATACTTCTTTCAAAATAGAGATGATCAAGAAAGAGAAAAAACATAAATTGGGCATGTTAAGGCAACAATAATGAACTCACACCTATTATACCCACTGATGCCTTCCAAAGATGAACACTTACATTGTGAACTAAAAATAGGCACTAATGCATTTGTACATATTGTAAATTTTCTTTTGCTTTTGTGATTATCTTCTCATAAACATACATACATAGTTGCATGTCATGAGCTGTTGTGAAGGACACTGCTAATGTGTTTGTGAAGATCCTTCTACAAGAAATAATTGATACACATCCAACTGGAAAAGTGTGAAAAAAATAGGTGTCATCTATGCAGATGTTGGTGGATCAAAAATGTGGGGGAAATTCTTCAGAATCCTTTAATTATCTTTAAAAACTGTATTTCCAATAGTAAGCCTACAAATACTTTAGCTAGTTACATGTGATACTGAAGCATAAAATAAATGTGCTTTGGATTATCTCCATCAAGTGTGATCGCTGGAAATTCTATGAAAATATATTCCCATCAATTTTTTTGGTATTTCTACAGATCTTGACTACAAGAGTAATTTGCAAAGTATTTTCAAAATAGTCACTTACATATGTCAAATTAGTTTTCATAGTGCTGACTTTCATGTATTTGACCATACGCAGGAATACTGAGTGCTTTCTCAGACAGCATACAGAGGCATAATGTTGGAAGTTAGCATCTATGTCAATGGAAAATTTTACTCAATACATTTTTCACAGCTATAACAGATTGTGTGAGAAATTTATCATTTATACAATGAAAAATTTGCAAGAAATCCTTCTCACATTAACTACTTACATGTAATGTTTCCCTGTTTGCATTATTTCATTATTTGATGGCATTATTGTGCACTGAATGCTTTTCTCCATTGTTGGAATGCATAGGGTTACTTCCTTATATGGACTCTTTCATGTCATTATAATCACTGGTGGTGGGCAAATTTGCTGCATTGCTTACATGCATACAGATTCTCCCCATTGTGAGTTCTTTCATGTGTTCATCCGGTACAAAACGAACTGAATTTTTTCCCAAGTTGCTTACCTACATAGAGTTTCTTCCCATTGTGGAATGTTTGATACATTTACAAGCTATGGGCTTGGCTGATAGATTTCCCACACAGCTTACATTCTTAAGTTTTTTCTCTGTGTGGGATCTTCTAGTTCTAGAAAATGTGGATTATCAGCAGAGCTTTTAAATTATGACTTATATAAGTTTTCTCTTGAGTGTGAATTATTTTATGGATGAGATTACAATATTGATTGAGATATTTTCCACATTATGCACCTACATAGTCTTTCTCCCTACTGAGATTTCTATCATGTTTTTATAACCTGTTTGTATACTGAACATGTTTCTAAATGTCTTGCATGATAAGATTTTTCCCTAATTTAATTTCATTCTTGTTTCTGACAGTGAATGTGTCTGTATTTTCATTTGTGATGGTATATCTTAACATTAGGATTGCTACATGGATACAGGCCATGAACACAAGCACAATATTGAATATGAATGTATAGACACTTCTTGGTAAACTGATCCAAGAGTTACAGATTCTGATGGGAAAAATTGTCATGAGACAATTAGGTGTCATCCATCAAAACAAGAGATTGGCGGATCAAAACATGGAAAAAATGATATAGCATACTTAAATTTTCATTAAAAAGTGCAACATTTTTATTAACACTACATACAGATAAAATATTTATTTAAAAAAAGACAAAAATATTTTAGGATAATTCTGTTTCAGGTTGTCTTCAAAAATGTATGAACATATATTGACAGAAATTATTTTATAATATTTTGGCAGGTCTCCTCTACATGACTAATTTTGAAATTATTTTCAAAATAGTCCCTTACATATGTATGATTTCACTTAACTCGGATTACTTTCACACTTTTGACAATAAACGTGTATATTGTATACTTTCCCACATTGCATACATAATCTTGGGACATAGTATGACATCACTCAGAAGGTTAGCAGCTATCAGCTGAACTTTTACCAAAACTTCCTTATATGCAGTTACTCCCCAATGTGAGAAGAATCTTATGTTTTCAAAAGGGAAGCACTGCAGCAAATCTTTGCCACACTGCCTACATATATATGATATCTTCCTTGTATGCAAAATTTCCCTATGGCATTTTTGTGTGCTATGTATGATCTACCATTGTTCAATTGCATAGAATTACTACACAGAGGGAGTTCTTAAACGTAGTGGCAATCTCAATGGTATGGAAAGTCTTTCTATATTCCTTATGTTCATAGGATTTTTTCCCAGTGTGATATATTTGATGTTATAAAGTGAGAATGTATAAACAAATCCATTTACTCATTTCTCATATAGATAGGGATTTTTTTATAGAGTGAATTTTTTTCTATACAAAAAAGCTACTATTATAGCTAAAACACAACACAAATTACTTACATCAATGGAAAGGGTTCATTTTCAGCACTTCTGTATACTGAATGTTTTGGTATATTGGTTGTACCATAGATGTTTTATAGGTTGTGAGTTCTTTCATGAGTAATAAGGTGACTGCTTTGACAGAAAGATTTCCCACATTGCTTACATACAAAGTGTTTCTCCCCAGTGTGTATTCTATAATGTGATTTACAAGTAGAGGATGTACTGAATGCTTTCCCACATTTGTTGCATGCAAAGGGTTTCTCCCCAGTGTGAATTCTTTCATGTTTAATAAGGTCACTGTTTTGACTGAAAGTTTTCCCACATTGTTTACATGCAAAGGGTTTCTCCCCAGGGTGAATTCTATCATGTGCTTTACAAGCAGAGGATGTACTGAATGCTTTCCCGCATTTGTTGCATACATAGGTTTTATCACCTGTGTGAATTCTTTCATGTCTAATAAGGTTAGTCTTTTTATAAAAAGATTTCCCACAATGCTTACATACAAAGGGTTTCTCCCCAGTGTGAACTCTATCATGTACTTTACAAGCAGAGGCTGTACTGAATGCTTTCCCACATTTGTTGCATGTAAAGGGTTTCTCCCCAGTGTGAATTCTTTCATGTTTAATAAGGTCACTGTTGTGACTGAAAGATTTCCCGCATTGTTTACATGCAAAGGGTTTCTCCCCAGTGTGAATTCTATCATGTGCTTTACAAGCATAGGCTGTACTGAATGCTTTCCCACATTTGTTGCATGCAAAGGGTTTCTCCCCAGTGTGAATTCTTTCATGTATAAGAAGGCTAGGCTTTTGATTGAAAGATTTCCCACATTTGTTACATGCAAAGGGTTTCTCCCCAGTGTGAATTCTATCATGTGCTTTACAAGCAGAGGATGTACTGAATGCTTTCCCGCATTTGTTGCATACATATGGTTTATCACCTGTGTGAATTCTTTCATGTCTAATAAGGTTAGTCTTTTTATTGAAAGATTTCCCACAATGCTTACATACAAAGGGTTTCTCCTCAGAGTGAATTCTATCATGTACTTTACAAGCAAATGATGTACTGAATGCTTTCCCCCATTTGTTGCATGCAAAGATTTTCTCCCCAGTGTGAATTCTTTCATGTTTAATAAGGTCACTGTTTTGACTGAAAAATTTCCCACATTGTTTACATGCAAAGGGTTTCTCCCCAGTGTGAATTCTATCATGTGCTTTACAAGCATAGGCTGTACTGAATGCTTTCCCACATTTGTTGCATGCAAAGGGTTTCTCCCCAGTGTGAATTCTTTCATGTATAAGAAGGCTAGGCTTTTTATTGAAAGATTTCCCACATTTGTTACATGCAAAGGGTTTCTCCCCAGTGTGAATTCTATCATGTGCTTTACAAGCATAGGCTGTACTGAATGCTTTCCCACATTTGTTGCATGCAAAGGGTTTCTCCCCAGTGTGAATTCTTTCATGTATAAGAAGGCTAGGCTTTTTATTGAAAGATTTCCCACATTTGTTACATGCAAAGGGTTTCTCCCCAGAGTGAATTCTATCATGTGCTTTACAAGCAGAGGATGTACTGAATGCTTTCCCGCATTTGTTGCATACATAGGGTTTATCCCCTGTGTGAATTCTTTCATGTCTAAGAAGGTTAGACTTTTGATTGAAAGATTTCCCACATTGCTTACATACAAAGGATTTCTCCCCAGTGTGAATTCTATCATGTACTTTACAAGCAGAGGCTGTACTAAATGCTTTCCCACATTTGTTGCATGCAAAGGATTTCTCCCCAGTGTGAATGTTTTTATTACTTTGAAAACCACTGAGTTTACTGAATGCTCTCCCACATTGCTTGCATTCATATGGTTGCTTTCCAGTGTGAAGTTTCTTATGCTTTTTAAAGAAATTACTGTGAGATAATGCTTTTGCACATTTTTCAATTATATGATATTTCTCTCTACCATATTTTCTAACAGGTTTTTCAATATTGGATGAAGAAATAGAAATATTCTCATAGTGTTTTTGTACATAGGAGTTTCCCAAATTGCGGTTTGTCTTGGGGGTTTGAACACAGTTAGTTGTTGTATGGGCTTTCACACTTTTGTTACCTACAAAAATTTTCTGCCCGGAGTGAATTTTTTCACTAAGATCAGATCTCTCCTCCTCATTTTTTCCATATTCACTGGGTCTCTCTACAGTGTTCCTCATTTCATGCTTCTGAAAGGACTGGAAATCACTGCAGGTCTCTAAATCTTCATTACATTTATATGGCTGCCCTTCAATTCTCAAATAATTGTCTTCATCACATCTGTGCAGAAATAAAAAAGATATCAATCACAATGGAAAAGGCTCCACATTAGCAATATTTTTTATGATGACAAATTTAGTTTGATTCCTGCTAAGTAATTCTGATGGTTAACTGACTCACTGCCCTGCAGGACTGCTTTCAAAATACTATCCATTCTAAAAATTGTTACAAAAAAAAAGTACCAGGGATTGAACTCACAACTGCATGCTTGCAAGGCAGGCACTTATGCCCCAAGATAAATCCTCTGCTCCATTTAGGCAATTTTAAATTGTTATGTGATTCTAATACTTAATATCATTTTAGGAGACTGGTACAAATGAATAGCAAACATTGATCATTTTTTGTAGCTCTTCGTGTCTTAACTCCCCTTTGTCTATTTAGCCTGATGATCTTTCTCATCTACAGAACATAAGTATTGCTGGTCATATATTCTCTCTCTTTACTTTCACTTCTCAAATAAGTTTTTAATTTCTCATTTAAGAAAAAACCTGAGTTGTGGCTAGGGATTTAGCTCAGCAGCATAAGCACCAGCCTCGCAAGCATGAGATTGTGAGTTCATTCCTCAGTACCAAAAGAGAGAGAGATAGAGAGAGAGAGAGAGAGAGAGAGAGAGAGAGAGAGAGAGAGAAGAAAACCTGTAATATTTCCATTTCTATGTCTGAATTACTTCACTTAAGGTCCAATACTTCTTGTTTCTTGGGAAATGATATCATGGTTCCCTGTATAGCTTTTTTTCAACGTGGAGTTAAACACAGATCATAGAATGAACTACATTTGCTGACCTATTATTTGTTTTGTTGAGAGAGATTTTTATTGGACATCAACTTGTCCAAGCTGAACTTCAAGTTATCATCCTGCAGATTCAGCTTCCCCAGCTGCTTGGGGATTGCAGGAATGCACCACAATGTTGAGCTGACTCCAAATTTTCTTTACCTTGGCATGCAGTGATGGGCATCTGGGCTCTTCTCAATGCTTAGCTACTGTGAGTTGATTCTTGTATTAGATATTGTAAATGCCTTTTCATGTGCTTTAACAAACAACACACTCATGGTTCACTAACATTTGATGATTTTAATGTATTTGACAATATACTGAGAGAATCATTACACATAATGACACAGTATGACCCACTCAACAGTCAGGAGGTAGAGGCAGGAGGATTGCTCTGAGTTTCAGGCCATTATGGCCTTCACAGTAAGTTCAAAGTCAACCTGAACTACAGTATAAAATCATGGCTCAAAAGATTTAAAAAAGGATATCATTGTGGATGTACATGTGAAACAATATGAAACATGTTGTTTTAATTTTCAGATTACTGAATAGTTGTTACCATGTTTGTATTTTATGTATCCATCAGCAATGTATGAGGAATTTTAAACCTTAACAGCTCAATATTTTATGGGATATTTTCATAGTACTTATTGTAACAGTAGAATTCATTTTCATTTTGAAAGCTGATGCTATGTGAATATTATTCTAGATCATGAAAGTCTCAGTATTCACATGCATATATAAATGGTGTTTTGAAGATGGGTTTTTATCAACTTTCACAATTTGTTCATTTCCTACATATCAAAATACAATATTTAAATTTATTATCATACATTTCTATGATGTTGATCATGAAGGCAATTTTTAAACTGATACATTAGATAGTGTTATTTACTACATGTATTAGTATTACCTCTGATTCTTATATTTCAATATGTTTCTATGGATTCCCAGATAATACAAAATAAAATTAAGTATATCTCTTGGTATTTTTTGAGGTTAAATAAGGTATAACATGATCTCATTTCTTCAGGTTCCTTTGTTTTAATATTTATGCTCACACACTGACAATTAAGTAATGTTCTATTTCTCTTATGTGTTACAGTCACCTTATATTACTTGAGCAATTTTTGTCCTCTTCCTTAATTTGCTGATTATTCCATATTTTTCCTGTAATATGGACATAGAAACAAAATACACTTACTATAACTATACATTAAAATATCTCTGATTTGATTTATACTCATAGTATAGTATAATCAGACTTGAGATATACAAGCAAATGTTATTATTATCAAATATATTAAACTGTATCAATGAGCAATAATTAATGCTGTTAGTATAAACAAACATGTCATCCTTACCTGTTGCAGTAATATTCATATATGTTTCCCACATCACTCCTCTGTAGAGCTTCTTTTTGGATGGAATCAGCAAATCCCACTCTTCTGGAGTGAACTTCACAGCTACATCCTCAAAGGTCACTGTCTCCTAAATAATGACATGGGTCCTGAAGTTCAGGGATACATAACCTGATATACCTCAGTTCCTGTAATAAGTAGTCTAACTGAAATTCATTCTTTCAAGTATTAACTGCATGTTATGGTCATAAAAACTCAAGTACATTCAAATATAGTCACCCAGTAACACTGATGCTAGACTATGACACACTGCTAAAGCAATCACAGAACTGTAGCATGGTTTGTCCCGCAGGGCCACCAATAGTGTAGTTTTTCACTTACTTCAAAGCAGAGCTCAAGAGTTAGGATGCAAACCACCATTCACAAAATATTGGTTATTCATAACACGGAGTTTGTCTTTCTTATCAACAGCATCATGGTCTTGAATCTAGATTTATAGATAAATATTTGGTTGAATATGAAAAGAGATTTTCTGAGTGATTAAAATTTAATGACAGAAAAGTTTTATTTGACCATTCTATAGACAAGGAAATAAGGGAAAATGTAGTTATAAATCTATAGCTCAGGGATTCTAAATTATCTCCTTGTAATTATATATGGGAAATTCCACTAGGGTGCAAAGGAAGATAATGTGGGGAAAAAAACATATATGAATTGCTGAACTAGAGTGAAAATTGCAGAATAGCAAAGTAACTGGTCACTAAATACAGAAGGAAGAGTTCAGTACAGTGGAGTAGTATATGCTTGTACTCTCAGAACTTGAAATCATGATGTAAGAGGATTACCAGAAATTTCATGCTTGCCATGCATACAGTGTCCAACCTGGGCTTTGTAACAAGGACAGTTCAGACTACAAAGTGAGGCCATTCATTAAACCCTGTACCAAATGAAAATTAAAATTAATTCACAGTCATTGACAAATTACAACTTTGCACCCAGGATATATCTCAATGGTACACGCACCTATATGACATTTGCAAGGGCCTGAATACAATTTCCAGTACCAAAAAGAGAATTCAAGTGCACCTTTGATTAGTAACAACAACTGTACATGTGTGTTAGAGAAAAAACCTGCAAACGTTGAATATTTGTGTTCAAGGAAACATTTTGCATAATAAACAGGAAAACATTTGACATTCAACATTCATATCAGTGGACAAATGGATCTCAGGAAAGGAAAACAACCTTCAATTCATTCACATGGAATATTATGTCACAACTCAGCTGGCATTGTGCTTCTAAGCAAGAAAGCACAATATGTTTCATTTAGATTCAGAAAGAAACAGGTATGTCCCTAGAAATCTGGCCTGCACACTATCCTTGCCTATGTGCATTGGTGAGCAATTGAAATGGGAAAGAGAAACATGAATTACTGTGAAATTTATACTGAAAAATAGTTAGTGCAAAACTCTTCTGAAGAAAATCAAGCAGCCATGAAAATTAGAAGTTGAAATCTATGAAAATTGGAATTAAACAAGAAAACATTTATTGGGAACACAATACAAAGATTTTACATAGAGTTAAGATCAATGAGCACAAATCTAAAAATAAACAAAATTTATGTTTTGTTTATGCAGAAATAATGAATAGAAAAGAAAATCTAAATGACATTTGTGAAAATAACCAAACAATATTGAAGTGTGGAAGAAAAAATAATTAGATTTATTCTTAAATTCCACAAACTCCTTTTCTATGGAGTTTATGAAAATCTACACACAAGTGAATTCCTTCTAACGTCTACAAAATATTTTGTTCTATGATTCCTTGAAATACACGTGATTCTTTTCAAGTGAAATTACAGACTCAGAAACTGTGACCAAGAGAATAAATGAGAATGTACTTTGGTTTTGATTCACCTATCAGCCCTTGTGAATGACTGTGAGAAATGATTGAATTGATAAATACCACAAAAACCTCACAATATATTTTTATGTGCAATTTCAATGCTAGTTTCTAAAAACTTAAAGGGAATAAGTTAAAAATATAATTTCCATAAAAGAGTAAACTTTGGAATACTTCCAAAGAATTGTCATCAATTATGCAATAATACTTTCTGACCTGAATGTATTTTTCACACGGTTACCTTCATTTCTTGCTTAAGATCCTTTAGTGAAACTTTCTGAATACACCTGTGACTCTTTCACTGTTCTTATTAAATCTATACACTTAAGCTTTGAGAATAAGATTTTCTTTAAATGATTAAAACAATAAATTGCAATACAGGTACTAACTGATTTGTATGTGTTTATGTGTCTTGAGATATGAAATGACTGGACAGTTTCTATATTAGATAGTGATAAACAAACTACAGTTAGAAATATCAGTGTAAAAACCTCAGTGCTAACAGTTGTGAAATTTGAAATTCACCAAAAGGATAACAGGTAGGCCTATCCGAAGTGGAGACATTATTAGGAGAACAGATTAAAAGGGACTGAGAAAACAGGTGTCAGAGCTGATTAATAGCTAGACAACTAGGTAATCTGCAAATAATCTCATGATCCGGAGAGCAGTGTTTATTGTGTGCACACTGATACCATAGGTTAAATAGTAAGCTATGCAAAAAGACATACCTCAATTCCATTGATTCAACAAAACATATGGACACTACATGAGCTTGATTATATTCCACATGTACAATCAGCGGTTATTTAGAAACAAATATCATTCCTTAATATATGGCCCATATAAAGAGCAATCAACTATATAAACAGAAACAGAATTGGAAGAGAAAAATCAATCATTTACAAGTATATATTTAAGAGTTCAAAACATCTTCATCAGTGACTGAGAGCTCAAGAAGG